TCTCTCTCTCTCTCTCTCTCTCTCTCTCTCTCTAACGCGCACACAAACACACACTTTCGTAAAATAAATTAAAATATAAATATTTTTAAATCAATTTACATACCAATTACTGCTAACACAATAAACAGCTTCATCATTATTGATTTAATTGTTATTTTTAACAAAATAACTTATTTAATTCAAAATGGTTGTGATCTCAAAGTTTTAACTCAAGACTAAATAAAATATGTTATGTTTGATACCAGTTGTTAACATTATATTAATTAATTAAAATTAAAAAATAACTTAATTAAATTATTGCAAAATGAGAGAGAGAGAGAGAGAGAGAAGTGTGAGTGCGACTACTGGTCGTATAATAATTAATATGTATTATATTATATTTAATTGACTTTAGGTGTAATAAATTGCAGTTTCGAAGAAGAAGAGTTGAAAGTGGATAAAATGGCGCCAAAGTATGAGAGGTTAGGCAATGGCGTGGAATGCCCTCAAAAAGTGGAGCTAATTATGGAAAAATGCAAAGAAATGGGAACAACTAATGATACAAATGGCAGATTGTGAGTATAGTAACCGTATAAACATAAATTTCATTAATATACACTAGTAAATTATTGATATTATGTAATAGATTTTAGATTTTAAATTTAATTGTACTACATAAGTTTATATGATGGCTAACTATTTAAGTGAATATTTCACTATTTTGGTTTTGTGTCATTTAGGAATTGAAAATATTTTTATATAGAAATACAAATTTTAATTTAAATTATTCAAAAATAATAGTGACATTGTTTACAAAATTAACAATTCATAATTTACAATTAATAATCTCTTATTGCCTTTATATGGTAATCATAATTTATGATAAGTTGTCATTAATTATCATCATTAGTTATAAAGATTATATTTATAATATATATTATATTACATATTCTTTATATATTTATTATATTTTTAATTAAAATTAATAGACATGATATAGTAAATTAGTATATTAGTTGACAATAATTTATTATTATAGCAACAATGTTAACAAGTAAGTGTAAATATAAAGTAAACTTTATAAATATACCAATACTTTACATGTTCCAATGTATGTATGTAGTTATGGGCTTCATATGAACATCATTTTTTACAACTAAATATATAGTATTATATTAGTTAGAAAAATTAGTAAAAAATTAAAAGTAATTTTGAAACATGTAGACATGGTTATTGATTGACTCACTGATTAAAAAAAACTCAGGGCTAATTAATATGAAATAATTCAATTATAATAACAATACACTAATTGACCATGTTCCAAAACACCCAGGATGTGGGATATATTGGACGGCTTTAAATATGCCGGTTACCTAAAACCAATACTCCGTGACGTGGTTTTGGAGAGCACTAGTCTTTCGAGCTACGAGAAAGTTAGTAACTACTGCAAACTGCCCAACGACACCATGTTGAAATATTGCGCCATACTCAATTCTAAAGTGGTCGAATCAAAAAAACTACGCGATCGTGTTCTGGGTTATCTAACCGATGCTGCCAACCAAGCTAGAATTAACTTGGGCGAAGTGTTATGGTATGTTTGTATTTATATGTATAGATTAAAAGTATAAATTTTAAATAATGTCACCTATATCGAAGTGTTTATTCTATGATAGATTTAATTCTGTCTTCATTAGATAATATATTTATGTCAGAATAGTATTTTATTTAAATATTACACATTATTATACATATAACAATAGCATACATTGTTATACAGGTCAAATTCTATTTTGTTTACCTCGTTTTGATCAACACCTCTTTATAATGAACTGTTTTAAAATTTATATGTTATTTAAAATAACTTATTTTATAAATATTATAAATTATAAACATTAAACTTATAAACATTATAAATTATAATGTTAAAATAACCTCGTTTACATGAACTTCTCCATAATGAATACCTCCCCATTATTAACCGATGTATGGAGATTAAGATAAAATTTTCACTCCCAATAATGAACAAATATGTTGATATTGACAATAATGACAATATCTTATATCCAAGAGTGTAACATTTTATTTATGACAGATTTAATTCTATTTTTATTAGATATTATAGGTATGCCAGATTTGTATTTTAGTTAAGAATCTACATATAACCTTAACAAACAGTTTACATTGTTATATTATAAAATGTTTAACCACAATTCTATCTGAATATATTGTTTTATATATTAATAAGGTCATCCTTTACCTCCTCCCCCCGATCTATGGGATTTAACATGAGATTCCAGGTTAAGTATAGGGTTGACACTTTAAGAACGTTAGCAGAAAAATAATTTAAAGACTTTAAGAGAACAAATAAATTAGTATTTTGATTACAACGGTTTGATAACTAAGTTCAAATAAAAATATGACATTGGAATAGAAATAGTTTTATGTTCTAGATATTCTATGTTGGCTTTGGGGGGAGTGTGTTAGGTACATGCGAACGTAATCTCTATAATATAAAATTATTCCCAGCGTTGGGCTTCTGAGTAAGGCTCACTTTCCCATTGACTCTCTCTCTCTCTCTCTCTCTCTCTCTCTCTCATTTATACACACATAACTCATAGATATAGATATAAAGAAATTAAAGTTGTGTTTTTATTTTGAGGTACAAGCAAATCACTTTATATGCAACGATTAAATAAAGTGCGTTTATATTATACGGGGAAAAGTGTACTCGTATGTTTAAAAATAAATCCATGCATAAAATTGCGAATTAAGTGGAGGTAAAGGTTCTAGATTTCTTAAAAGTGCTAACGCAATTTGCAAATCACCCCGTAACAAATGAAACATCGCTGTGTGCGTGATAATTGACAATTGTTATAAACTTGATGTAAATTGCATAATGAACATATTGTTGAACCCATCTAAACAGTATTGTGCGTAAATACTGGGACGATGTGCTGAATATGCACGAAGACATCGATGGCTTCAGAGAGTCCACTCGCGAACGCATCGCAATCTTTCCATCATTCGTGACCAGAGCTGAGTTACATCTCGGTGTGAAAGCGGACGCCAAGTGCGAACTCGGCGAGAAGTACCCTGATGCGAAACACAAATCAATTACCGTGTCGCTTGTTCAAATATTTACCAAATACGCGGACTTTGCGCTATAATTACTGTACACTAGTAGATGGCACTAGAGATGTTTACGGGCAAATAATCATAACGACCAACATATAAACTTTAAACATTTCTATTAAACTCCTTTTTAATCTCTTATAAGTTATTAGATATTTATGGAAATTTTGAGAAATAAATATTTTTAAACATTAATTGATTTCTGTTTCCGTTTTATGTCTATTATTCACAAATTTATATATAATTTGTGCCTATATTTTGTTTTATGTTTCTATTTGTACTGAAAAAATGATTCAATCAATGATTTGTTGTTTTTAATTAAAATTTTGAACAATTTTTTTAGTATACTGTTTGCCATTAAAATCTTATTATAAGTTATGATATAAACTTTATATTAGAAAGTATGCCACAAATTATTACACAATTGGCATTTAATGCTAAACTTTTCGCTGCCTTTATTTTATATGTTGTTTAACTGTATGTTTGTATCAAATCAGTAAAATATGCGGAATATATTTCTCATACAAAACAATAACTCATATTAATTACGATTATTATTCTCCCATTTCTTTGCCGGCAATCACTATATGTTTTGACAAAATTGATGTTTTGAGAGATTAGTATTTAAGACAATTGAATATATCGTCAAAACTTATAAACAGACAAATGTCAGAAGAAATGGTATTAAAGTTTTGCGCCAATTATACAATTAGAGAGCAATTGAATGAATTGCTGTACAATTATACTAATGTCTTCGGCACATGTGATGTATTAAAACCATTATCTATTAAATCTATTAATAATTCCGATCCCTTGTTAAATGATTTATACGTTAATTGTGAACATTTCAATCTAACCAAGCAATCGGTTAATTACAACAGGTATTTGTAAAATATGAATTTTAATCTATATTAATTATTTAAAATTAATAATTATTAATAATAATTTATTATACAGTAATCATATGTAGNACATTTCAATCTAACCAAGCAATCGGTTAATTACAACAGGTATTTGTAAAATATGAATTTTAATCTATATTAATTATTTAAAATTAATAATTATTAATAATAATTTATTATACAGTAATCATATGTAGAATTTGTATAATAACTAATCTAAACTTTACTGCAATTTTTATCCATAGAATGTGTTTTACATTTTTATCTCAATTAAATGAAGAATCAGATGAAAAGTTTTTGCTAAACAATAACTTTTATTATAAGGATTATTTAATTGACATTTTTGCAGTTGTGGTGAAAATTTTAAATACAAACGTTTTCGTTGCGGTTCATCCCAGACATCATTTAATACACAATGTATTTAAATATAATTTCAATAAATACCCACTTAATAACGTTAGCCATACATCGCATACACATATTATGCAATACAATAAAGTTACTGTCAAATCACAACATTTCAATCTAACCAAGCAATCGGTTAATTACAACAGGTATTTGTAAAATATGAATTTTAATCTATATTAATTATTTAAAATTAATAATTATTAATAATAATTTATTATACAGTAATCATATGTACATAACTTTTTTTTAATCATATGTACATAACTTTTTTTTAATCATATGTACATAATTTGTATAATAACTAATCTAAACTTTACTGCAATTTTTATCCATAGAATGTGTTTTACATTTTTATCTCAATTAAATGAAGAATCAGATGAAAAGTTTTTGCTAAACAATAACTTTCATTATAAGGATTATTTAATTGACATTTTTGCAGTTGTGGTGAAAATTTTTAATACAAACGTTTTCGTTGCCGTTCATCCCAGACATCATTTAATACACAATGTATTTAAATATAATTTCAATAAATACCCACTTAATAACGTTAGCCATACATCGCATACACATATTATGCAATACAATAAAGTTACTGTCAAATCACTGCCTAAACCATATGAAACTGATTGCTATGAATATAAGGGAATCGGATTTAAATCGCTTTATGATGGCATAATTAATTGTCGCATTACAAGCATTAGAGAGAAGTGGCCGCACGTATGGCCCGGTAATTACTTAGCCTACAATCGCACACTTGATATAATCCCTGTAGAAATGTCTGAATATTATTCAGCAAATTATAGTTTTGATGAAATTTTGGGTAAAAAATGTCAGCATTTATGCCAATTGAGCGTTGAATGTATTTCAGAATATTATTACCTTAATGTATATGATATGCGAATTCTTGAAGATGGTAATTACGTGATGCTATGGGCGCCCAACACACCCGACCTAATCCATACACATTCACCACAGATATTGTTTGAAGAGTTTGTCTCATATATAGCCTCTTATATGAGTCTATGGTTTGGTTTCTCAATTATAAATCTATCAAATGTTATACACGTTTGCTATCAATGTATTCGTAATAAAATTAATGTAAATGTTTTAAAATTAATTCATAAATACAATACACGTGTTTGTGTGAAAAATACAATATCAACCAACAATGTAATTGTATTTGATAGTAGACTCGCAAATCTTGGAATCATTAATTTCCTTCCCATCCCGAGAAACACTAATAGCAGGTTATAAATATTATTTTACAGTGAGATACACCTCAATTGTAATACAGTATTTAAATTAGTATACAATATATAATTGAGTTAATGTGAGTTTAAAAATATATTTAAATACTAATTATTATAATATAAACTATTATGTAAATTATCAAATTATGTATACGTTAATTAACCATAAATGTTTTTGTTTTTTTAATAGTGTCAAATTAATTAATTATATATTCAAATCAACGATAGTCTACTAAATGGGTCTATAAATAAACCATTAAATGTTTGTTTGTTTCCCACAATTTATCATTCAACAACTCGTTAGGAAAAGTCCATATTAGCATAAAATTGCACTAAAATCAATGATAAGGATAATTTTGCAGTATAATAAATAATATAAATATCATTAATGTCAAATATTGTCCAATTTTAATTAATTTATTATAAAATTATTTTAATTGCAAAATATTTTAATTGCAAAATAATTTTATTAATATTTTATAGATTTACAAAACTAGTAATAAATCAAATATAATGTCAACAATACTATATTATTAACCTGTTATATAAACAATTGCGATTGATTTATAATAGGATACCGGTTTGGGATTAAATTTATTACTATTATTTTTCTATAAAATACAATATCAGCTAGTTTTTAATTAAATAGCATAGGAATTAATACTTTTAATTTCTATATAAAGGGGTAGTCAAGGTATCTCGCACACGCGGTTTGGTCAATTACTCTTAAACTACAAGAGATAATTCAATTCTGTAAAAAGTACCTAAGAGCCCCATATACGCTAGTTCTTGTGAATATATAACTTTTAGGTTTTGGTCACGTGGTATACAAAATATGGGACAATTCCAAAACCACATGTTATTGGTCAAACAATAAGAAATATTGAGATGGTCCCCATGGGAAATTTTTAAAACAATAATAGGTGAGTACAGTAAAATAAGAATTACTAAAATCTGATAAGTAATATAGATTTTATGGCTCAACAAAGACAGGCTTTTCGTAATGCTAATCCTATGGGCAAATTTTAAGTATAAAATATTGAGATGGTCCCAATACAAAATATTTAGAGCATCAATAGCTGAGTACAATAAAAAAAGAATTACTAAAATCGAATCAGTACTTTGGGTTTTATAGCCAAAATACCTAAAATAATTTATAAAATTATAATTTTTTCTAAAATATTTGAATTAAAATATCTTTAATATGTTTTGAATTTTAGGTAATTTATAAAATTTATTAATAATTTATATGCATATAAAAATTCACAATTTATTAGATATCTGTTTTAAAATTGCTTATATTTAATTTACATATTTAAAAACATTAAAAACCTTGAAGTTTTTATTATATCATTTTGAAAAATAAGAATATTATAATTATTTAAATATTACAAAATCATTAAATAAATTATATAAACTTTTAGTAAATGAAAAAGATAGATGTTAAATCAGATTTATCAAATATTGCACTAATATTGCATGTAATGTGCGAATGAATTTACATGTGATATACGAATGAATTTACATGTGATATGTGAATGTATTTAAATGTGATATGTTAATGAATTAGCATAAGATATGCGAGTGATAAAAATGTTTAACCAAACGAATATAAGCTCAACAAATTGTCAGCAATTTGTTTATTTTCTAGTGATTTTCATTTAAGATGGATTTTAAATTTATTGTACTATTAGTTGTATTCTTTGCAAAGTTTAAAACAATTACAGCGTGTGCGAGATACCTTGACTACCCCTTTAGATATATATTTAATTGTTAAGTTTTTGTAATTAATCAATGCATAGTAAAGTAATATACTTTATACTTTTCACATTCATAATTTAACTAATAATAACACAATTACGTTTTATTAATTATTTGCTAATTAAATCAATTAATATTTTTAGGTACAGTATATAAAAGTAAATAATTTTAGCATAAATGTTCCCCACTATGGTTTCGGTTCAATTTTTTACCACAAAATTTTGGCCTATATTTTAATCAACTTATTCTACCATCAAATGATAAATGTTTAGTTTAGTTCATAAAGTGTTAGCATTTACTTATGGTAAAGAAAATGTTTGTAATATATTTTATTTTAAAAATAATCTGCCGTACAATTTGGTGGTAAAGTGAAAACACACGACAATGAATGTTACAAATAGTATTGATTTTGCATACGATATGGTGGAGCGGACGGGCGTTATGTTTTATGTGGTCCGACCGACAGTATATACCGATGTGCATACTATACCTAATTTCATGCATAGAGTAAGTCACAAAATATTTACATATTTATCATTACTTTTACTACTTTCATTTTACCATTTTTTTATATTTATAAAGTTGCATTATAATTATTAATAATTAAATTTTAACCATATACTGTATCGCAGGCATGGCCTCACTTTATATACCTTTTGGCCATTGATATGGTTGTGAGATATTGGCAAAAACGGACACCAATTTATTACAACG